AAACAAAAGGTGGGTGATTTTCATCTGCGGCCCTTGGCCAGGCTCAAATTGTTTTCCTGTCAAACATTCTTCTAGGTGGTATAGCACTGGTCTGTGCGTTGCTGTACAGAGGTAACTCATGGTTGCTGTGATGCTGAAGGCTGTGACAGTGATGTGCCAATCATGGTAATGGGTACCCATGGTGTCCAGTGTTGGCTGGAGCTTCCAGATTAAAACAAGCCTGGAAGCAGGAGCGGCATCCACTTCCGAAATGGCTTGCCTCCGGAAATTCTACGTATGAACAGTGCTCAGGCTGTTCATTCATAGGGTCGCTATGAGTCGCCTACGACTCAACAGCATTAAACAACAACAACAACAATCTAACAGCAAAGCTAGACCTAGAAGGTCTCTTACTTATTCCAACATTCTTTTAGCATCAAATAATTGGATGCAATTTGGAAGTCCAATGATGAACCACAGGTTACATAAACTAAGGGAATATTATGAGACAATTAAAAGTGAAGTTGCAAAATATACAACACCACAATAAAAAGGATCTATACAGTTTCTTTTATAACAGTAACATATTTTATTGCAAAATAAGTAGATAGATAAGTAGATAAATAGTTACTGTTGATTGCTGTTGAATCAGCTCTGAATCATAGGGATGTTATGTATAATAAAAATGAAACATTGGCCGGTCATGCACCATCTCCATGATCTTTGATACATGTCCAAGCTCATTCCTGACGCTATATGTCAATCCACCCCGTGGCTATTTCCTTTGTTTCCGCTGACTCTTGGTAAATAGGCAGTAATAGGTAGTGGTGGTGGCGTTATGTGCCATCAAGTCGACTATATCTGTCTCATAGCAACCCTATAATCAACAGATCTGAACTTTGCTCTGTCCTGTGCCATCCTCACAAGCTCTGATATGCTCGAGCCTCTTGTTATAGTCACTATATCCATCCGTCTTCTTGAGGGTCTTTCTCTTTTTTTCTGATCCTATCCCAGCATGATGTTTTTTCCCAAAGGCTGGCCTCACCAGACAACTTGCCCTCAGGATGTGAGAAAAGTTTCACCCTCCTTGCCTCTAAAGAATGGCCTGGTTGCATTTTCTCCAAGACAGACTTATTTATTGTTTAGTCAGCCCATTAGATATATTCTGTGCAGAGTTGGACAATGACTAGGAAGGATAGAAGGAGAATGGCTGCCTTTGAGCTGTGGTGCTGGAAAAGAGTATTGAAAGTACCATGGACTGCTAAGAAAACAAACAGATTCATCCTGGAGAGGGTTAAACCAAGCTGCTCCTTGGAGGCAAGGATTCTGGGGCTTCGTCTGACATACGTTGGACATGTTGTAAGGAGGGACAGGTCTTGGAGAGGGACATCATGCTTGGGAGGGTGGAGGGACGGTGCAAGAGGGGAAGATCCTCTATGAGGTGGATTGATTCAGTGACTGGGGTAATTGGGATGGGTGTGTTGGAGACAGTGAGATTAGCACAAGATAGAGCAGGGTTTAGGGCTGTTGTACATAGGGTCACTATGAGTCGCAAGCAACTTGACAGCACATAACAACAACCAACACCACAATTCAAAGACATTGGTCCTTCTGTCATCCTCATTCACCGTCCCAACTTTCAGATGCATAGGGAGTAACTGAAAAGACCAGGGCTTGGATCAGGCGCACCTTGGCCACTAAATTACATTCTTGCTCCTTAGCATTCTTGGAGAAGTACTTGACAGCGGATTTTTCCAGTGTAACACATCTCTTGATTTCTTGACTACTGTTACCATGGGCATTGGTTGTAGAAGCCAAGTAAGACTAAGTCAATAACAACTTCAATCTTTTCTCCATCTAATATGATGTTGCCGATTGGTCAAGTGGTGAGGATTTTTGTTTTCTTGATGTTGAGATGTAATTCATACTGAAGGTATGTGCAAGTATATTGAAGGTATATGAAGCAAGTGCCTGAAGTTCTCTTCACTTTCTGAAATCAAGGTTGTGTCCTTTGCATAACATAGGTTACTGAGGAGTCTTCCTCCAATCCTGATGCCACATTCTTCTTCATCAAATCCAGCTTCTCAAATTATTTTCTCAGCACATAGATTTACTAGATATGGAGAAAGGAAACAACCTGGAACGTTTTTCCTGATTTTTTAAAAACTTTTCCTGATTTTAAACCATGCTGTTTACTTCTACTCTTTTCAGACAATGACTTTTTAATATATGTATAGGTTTATGATGAACCAGGTTAAGTGTCCTGGGATTTCCCATTCTTCGTAAAATGAGCCACAATTTGTTATGATCCACACAGTCAAATGCCTTTGCATAGGTAATAAAACACATGCACACACCTTTCTGATATCCTCTGATTTCAGCTAAAATCCTTCAAACACCAGCAATGATACCTCTGGTGCCAAGGCATTTCTAAATGCAGCTTGAATTTCTGGCGGTTCCCAATCAATGTACTATTCCAGCCACATTTTAATAATAATAATAATAATAATAATAATAATAATAATAATAATAATAATTTTACTTGCATGTGATAGTAATGATAATGTTGTTGTTGTTGCTATGTGCTGTCAAGTCACTTGTGACTCATAGCGACCCTATGTACAACAGTCCTAAACTGTGCTCTATCCTGTGCCAAATTTATTGTCTCTGTCACACCTACCTCATTACCCCAGTCACTGAATCAATCCATCTCATCCTGTTCGATAATTTGCATGTGTTGTTGATCATCTATTTTGGGGAAGCTGATGTAAAGCTTTCTGATGCATAGCACGTAATTGCGAAGGCTATAGCCTGAATTAGACACACCTTAGTCTCTAGACTGATATCGTTGCTCTTCAGCACTCTGGAGAAGTCCCTGACATCAGATTTTCCCAATGCATTTCGTCTTTTGATCTCCTGCCTGCTGATGCCAAGAGTGTTCATTGTAGAGCCAAGCAAGCTGTAATTGTTAACAATCTTCATCTTCTCTCCATCTATCATGGTGAGCCAACTGGCCCAGTGGTGAGAATCTTTGTTTTCTTGATGTTGATCTTCAATCCATATTGAAGACTACAGTCCTCGATCTTCTGCAGCAAGCACTTCAGGTCCTCCTCAGTTTCAGCAAGCAACATTATGTCATCTGCACAACGTAGGTTGTCAATGAATATTCCTCCAATCCTGATGCCATATTCCTCCTCATAAAGCCCAGCTTACTGAATGATCTGTTCTGCATATAGATTAAAAAGGTATGGGGACAGGATGAACATTATGAGGACTGCTTCCTGGTCCAAGTATAGGTTTCACATAAGCATAATCAAGTGTTCTGGGATTCCCATTTTCCTTAAGATTAGCCACAATTTCTTGTAATCCACACAGTCAAATGGCTTTACATAGTCAATGAAACAGAGATAGACATTCCTCTGATACTCTTTGCTTTTTGTCAAGATCCATCTGACATTGGTGATAATGTCTTTAGTGCTACAACCTCTTCTAAACTCAGCTTTTATTTCTAGTAGTTCTCTGTCAATGATATTAGTGATATTGTTCCATAATTTCCACTGTCATGTCACCTTTTTCTCGGAATGGGAATAAATATGTATCTCTTCCAGTCTGTTGGCCAGGTAGTTGTCCTCCAGGTTTCTTGGGACAACCTGGTGAGCACATCCAGGGCAGCATTCATTTGTTGAAATATGTATGTTGATATTCCATCAATTCCTGGGGTTTTATTTATTGCCAAGTCCTTTAGAGCAGCCTGCACTTCCTGCTTCATCACCACTGCCTCTTGATCATATTTTGTTTCATGAAATTCTTCTGTGTCAAGCCAATTCTTTTTGGTACATGATTCTGTATACTCTTTCCATCTTCTTTTAATGCTTCCTGGATCATTCAGTATATCTATTCTTTTGTACTAGACTCTGCAAGGAGCCCTGGTGGCATAGTGGTTATGTACTTGGCTGCTAACTGAGAGGTTGACGGTTCAAACTCAGGAACCACTCTATGATGGAAACATGAGGTGGCCTCTTCCCTAAAGATCACAGCCTTGGAAGCCCGTGGGGTGGTTCTCCTTGGTCCTATAGGGTCTCCATGTGTCAGCATTGACCCAATGGCAGTGGGTGAAGGACCGTGCAGAAGGGAGCATGGGTAGTGTGTGTACACGCACAAACATACTTGCAGGGTGGATGTGGTCAGGAGAGGGGCTGTCCCTACCTGGCCACTCCATCTCACTCACGAAAGGACCAGGGTTCAGAGGGCCCAGGAAGATTTCTTTAGGGGTGGAGGTTGGGACAGCTGCCATAAAAGAGTTCTACGCATGAGAAGGCCCCACTTCTTTCTGTCTTGAATGGGACAGGGTCTCTGTACGGTCAGAGGCTAGAAACTGAAACCGTGGCTTCTAGAAGAAGAGTGGGAGAGCAGAGTCCAAACTCTGGTTTATGGCAGCTCATAAACACACCAGGCAGAGTAAGGTGGGGGTGTGGGGGTCGGAAAGGCATTGCCTTCATGCCTCGTCTTCTAGGGAAGGATTCTGCTGGGTGGAAGATGTCCATGAAAGTGCTAGGGTTTCATCTGCTTTGGAGAGCCCCAAGTGTGAACCCCTGATCCTGCATGTGGAAGTCCCAGAGCCAGGAGTTCCCACTAGCTTGCATCAGTTCCCCAGAGCAGGAGAGGACATCAGAGCCTCCTTCTCCTGGTTGGAAGGTGGGGAGGCCCAGAGGCCTCCTACCCTCCCTGGGCTGTGCTGTCCACTTGCAATAAGGGCTAGGCCTGCATAGAAACTCAGGTCATCCCCTGGGTATGTGCTCAGGGAGCAAGGGTGGGGCACATCTGGCTGCAGCTGTCAGGCTGTCACCAGGCTCCAGGCTCCCAGGGACCTGGCGGGCACCTGCCACCCAACCCCCCCCCCCCCCCCCCCACCACCTCGCCCATACTCTCCCTCTCCGGGGACCTATCTTCCCTTATATGGTGAAGGCAGTGCCTAGAGAAGGGGGGGTGGGGACAAAGGTCGCCTTCCTGGAACCAGCTTGCCACAAATCCCAGGATCTTCCAGGTGGCAGCTGCCTCCTCCAGACAGGTAAGGCAACTGGTGGGGCGACATGGGGACCGTTGGTGGTGGACGGGACAGGACCCCGGCTTCTGCCAGGCAGCCTGGGTCCTCCAGCAGCACCCTGGCTGGTCTGGAGGGCAAGGCTGGGCTGTCTGGAGTAACACGGAGCTTCCAAGGAGAGAATACTGCAGGCCCAGCTCAGGCAACTGTCCTTTCTGTCAGCCACTACCTGCACCTCACTTCCATTCGCAAATTGTGAGCAGCCATTCCTGACTGCCTGGAACTGGGGAAGATCCTAGGACGTTAAATCCAGGACCATTCCGAGCCAAACAGGACTGGTCACCTCACTCACTTCCTCCTCTCCCTCCCAGGTCCACCTCTTCATTCATTTCTCCCCTATCTGTGATGGATTCTCTTTGTTCCCCTGACACTCTGGGCCCTTAATTCATAGGTCCCAGAATGTGACAGCCTCCAGGAATTGAATAGGCAGGGAAAGGGGATGGGGCCTTTGTTCCAGGGCCACACCCCACCATGCTAACAGGCTCCTCTTCCTCAGTGTCCCTCTGCCAGGCCTTAGTTCCGCACCTCTCCTGGATTTTCCATTTCTCTTCAGCTTTGAATGGAAGCCCAGGCCTGAGAAGGGCCTTGAGGCAGACAGGAGGCCTGCTCTGGTGTCCAGCAGGCCTGTGAGGGTACCGTTTGAGGTTTGAGGGACAGGAAGAGGGGACATTCTCTCCAGCTATTCTGGGTCCAGAAAGCAGGATGGTGTCCTGTATTTCAGGAGCTGGAAACCCCATCCCTCAGTGCTTCACCTCCTCCATACCCAGTTCAGAGGTGCAGCATAAGGGGGAGAGAGGACCCATATGCCCCCCCACCCCACAGTAGGGAAGGACTCACCAGTGGGGGGTGGGGCAGAGGTGCCTGCTCTGACCAATGTCAGGAAGACCAGGAGTTACAGCGGCATCCATGGAGGGAGCTGCCCTTCTCCCATAGCCTCCCCTCCCTCCGCCTCCTGCCCACTCTCATCCTAAAGAGGCGGCTAGAAGGTCCTCACTCCAGATTTCTGTCCATGGAGGGAGAACTCTGGCTTCCCCGAGTTTCTGCTGTCCTGAACTCCCTCTGAGAGGCCAAAAAGGGCTTCTTCCTGTTTACCTTGTATTCTCTTGCTACTGGTTTATTCCTAGACTCAGAAAATTTCTTTAGAGATGACAGCAGCCACCCAGCCTCATAGATGGAGGTGGGAGGCCCAGATCACAAAGCTAGTGTCTTGGGCAAAGGAAGATGATGACAAACATGGTGATTTAGACAAAACAGAAAAATCTCTCCTCCCTCCTTCCCAAACTGCTTTGTTGGCCTAAGTGTCCTGCGCGCCTCACTGTGTCTGCAGGACATGAAACAGCTGACGGTGGAGTAATGACATCTGACTCCAGACACAGGGGCTTCCACCAACCCTACAGACAGGCCTGGCAGCACGCAAGCAGCTTTAAGTGGGCTGAAGGGGCTGGTAGAGGCTGGCCAGGGAGGCCTGCCCCCCCAAAAAAGAATGCAGGAAGATGGGCCACTCCACAGGGCCCAGCAGAGGGAGTTTCCAGGGAGTAAAAGGCCAGGCCATTATGCCAGGAGTTGACTCAAAGTCAAGGTGCAAACAGAGATTAGATAGAGTGACTCGGCTGTCAGCCCAAGAGGTGTACATTGACCTTTCATCGTTATTCATCAGTTCAAGGAGGGCAACTCTGGCCTGGTGTGGTGATGGGCTCAGTGGCGACATGGTGACCACTGAAATGTCAGTGGAGGAGCAGTGCAACTCTGAGTAGGACTGGACTTCAGGAGTTCTCCACTGTGACTCCATGTCACTGTCACTGGGGAACTTTTAAAAAGCACCCAGCTCTTCTCTCTAAAAGGCAGAAAAGAAAATGCCTTCGCCCGAGCTGAGCCCTGTGCCTCCTCAGTCAGTCAGAATCTGGAGGAGGGGAATGGGAAACAGCCTGGATAGCAGGGCATCAGAGCTTTTAAAACTCCACAGGTGCTTCTGATGAGGTGATGACCACAGCCACAGGTGAAGCCAGAAATCGCTGCCCCCATAAAAGCTGGGGGAGGGGAGATGTCTCCTGGGATGCTGGTCCACAGCGGGAGGGGTCACTCTTTGTCATTCATTCAATCATTCATTCAGCAAAGCGCTGCTCTGTTCTTAGAGGCTAGGGCCTGACTATGAAGAAGCGTAAGTGGCCCCTGACCTGTGTAGTTATTTAAGGGTCACCAAAGTAACGGGGGGGGGGGCAGCTGAGGGGGAGCTATCTGGGCAGTGGGGAACAGAAAACTGCCACATATTGTTGTTGTTGTTGTTGTTAAGTGCCATCGAGTCGCAGGCAACTCACAGTGACCCTGTGAAGGAGAGTCCTCGATGCTTGGGTGCCTTTCATCCTCTCTCCAGGTTCATAGGATTTCCGGAGGCAAACTATTATTATTATGGAAGTGGATGCCACTCCTCCTTCGAAGCTTGTTTTAATCGAGGAGCTCATATACTTTAAAAAAATTATCGTAAAATACACATGATGTCAACTAATCACTTTAGCCATTTTAATGAGTGCAATTCAGCAGATATACAGCATTGGGCAACTCTCTAGTTTCAGGTTGTCATCATCCCAAAAGGAAACCCTGTTCCCGTGAAGTAGACACTTCCCACTCTCCCCTCTTCCAAGCCCCTGAGCTTTCGGACTCTGTGGATTTGCTCTATTAATGGGATCATACAACATGCAGCCTTTGCACTAGCTCTTCCCACTAACACACTGTACGGAAGGTTCTTTCCTGGTGCAGCGTGTGCTTCATCCCTGCTCTCAGCTGAGTACCAGTTCACTTTAGTTTATCTAGTCAGCCACTGAGGGGCATCTGGAGTGTGTCCACCTCTTCTGGCTATGACGCGTAGAGCTGGGAGAACATCTATGTATTAATTTTAATTTGAACACCTGTCTTCAATTCTTTGGGATGCATATACTTCAAAGTCTTTATTGATTCTTTGCTTTCCCCTCCCCTTTTTTATAATACTATGACTTTTTAAAATCAAATATGACTTTGATAATTTTTTTTCCAAAAGGAAAAATTGTTTAGGAGCTAGACTGGGGTGGGGGGGAAGGGGGCCCTGGAATGCAGGCTAAGGAGTGAAGATTTCATTCAGCAGGTGATAGGGAACTAAGGTAGGTGTTTGAGCAAGATCAGAGCTGGAAGGGAAGTTGGGAGGCTAGTGTCTGAGAGTGGGAGCTAAGCTCCCTCTTCCCTCCATGCCCCCAGCACGTGAACCTGCTGGTAAAAGGTGGGAATTCTCCAGGCTGGGCCAGCAAGGTGACTCCTGAAGACAGTGTATTCTCAGGTCCTTCCACGTCAGGATCTTCCACAATGACCAAACTGAGTGCCCAGGTCAAAGGCTCTCTCAACATCACTACTCCAGGGGTGCAGATATGGAGGATCGAGGTGAGTCTGTCTGTGGAAGGGGGTGCACGACTAGAGCGGTGAGGGAAGGAGGTGGGCTGGGATTGTGTTTATTCATCTCCACTCCTGCCCTGCTGGCCTGAGCCTTTTGCACCTGGTGCCCCCTATGCAACCCCCACCCTTTTTTACCTGCAGCCTCTCCCTTCCCAAATCAACCCATATCTCCTTGTTCTTCCTCCTCCTCCTCTTTCCACTACCTTTCTGCTACCTTGAAGGTGGTGCATCTCCATCAGTTCAAATTCACCAGTGGCTCCACAGGAGAAAGATGCGAAGTCTTGTCCTGTGCAATCACAGCCTCTTTGGGTTGTTGCTGACTCAACAGCAATAAGTTTGAGTTTTCTTCTCCTTGTTTGCTGCACACCTCCCCTCTCATCATCTGTGTCAGTCTTCTTCCTCGTTTGTCCATCAGGCTTCCTCTCCAGACCTTCCTCTCTCACTTTGAAAAGTATTCTGTGTTTCTTAATAATAACAATAGATAAGGAAGATAGAAGAATTGGTGCCTTTGCATTGCGGCATTGGCAAAGAGTATTGAACACACCAAGGCCCGCAAAAGAACAAGCAAGTTTGTCTTGGAGGAAGTCCAGGGTGCTTCTAAGAGGCAAGAATGGTGAAACTTCACCACCCATTCTTCAGGCATGCATGCTGGCAGGAGGGACCCGACCTTGGAGAAAGACATCATGCTGGGAAAAGCAAAGAATCAGTGAAAGAGGGGAAGTTCTCATTGTGACAGATTGCTCTAGTGACTGCAACAATGAACTTGAGCACAGTGGAGATTGTGAAGATGGCACAGGATAGGGCAAGGTTCTGATCTATTGTTCATAGGGTCACTATGAGTCTTAGACATCTTGACAATCAAATGTTTTTAACAATAAAAATGATAACAAAATCATTCTGTACAAATTACATCAATCAAAACATGAAAATAATACAATAGAATATTTGAGTATACAATCACAGTTATTAGAAACTTAAAGTTGTCATTGTCGTAGATGCCACCGCACTGTTGAATTGCCCTCTGACTCATGGTGACCCCTGCACAATGGGACTGTATTGCTGTCACACATGAGATTTCCATTGGCTTCTGTTTTAGAAGCAGACCACCAAGTCTCTCTTAGTCTTTTCTTAGCCTGAAACCTGCTAGCATTATAGCAAAGCTTCTGTTGAAAGATGGATAGTGGGTGTGCATGAGGAGTATGGACTGGGAGTCAAACCCCAGTTTCCTGCACAGGAGGTGAGAATTCCACCACTGAGCCACCACTGTGTCCTCTGGGACATCATCATTGGAGGTCAAAGAGTTATATCCCTGTTTTCAGGGAAATGAGGGTTTATCACAGTTCCAAGTCATACTTGTTCTGATATTTTTTCCAACTAAAGTTTTCAGTGACACACACAGGAGCTCTAGGGATGTCACACACAGAGAACTGTGCTGCTAACCCAAAGGCCACACCTCTCTGGAGGTTCGAACCCACCAGCATCTCTGAGGGAGAAAAATGAGCAGTCTTCTCCTGTGGGATTTACAGGCTTGGAAACCCAATGGAGGGGTCAGCCAGGGGTTCCGACTTGATGGCCGCGGTATGAGTAGATAAGTGATGACTCGACTTGAGTTCTCAGACAGGGTGGATTTTCCCTTCACTTCTCCTTTCCCTGCTCCTATTTCCTCTCTCTTGATTCTCTTCTCTCTACTTCTTCCCCCAACTCCTGTGGCCCACTCTCTTCCCTCATCCCCTCCTTCCATTCTCCCTCCTGACAGCTTTCCCGTGCTCTGCTCCATGGCTCTCTACCAACTCTCCCTGTGGGTCACGTGGATCAGGCAGCCCCCAACCTTCTTCTGTTCCTAGGCCATGCAGATGGTGCCTGTGCCTTCCAGCACCTACGGGAGCTTCTTCGACGGCGACTGCTACGTAGTCCTGGCTGTGAGTGTGGGGCCCGCAGGAGGGATGAGCAGGAGTGACGCCCACTGACCTGGTGATGGTGGGCTGGTGTGCTGGTGGGAGGGAGAGCTGCCCTGGCTTCATCCCAAGACAGTGTGCTCTGGTTGGACCCATGTTTCCAAAACCTTCGCTCATTTTCATATCACTTGCTTGACTTCTGTCACACCCTGTACTATTAATTCATTTGTATTTTCTACTGTATTGGCTCACTTTGACATCTAAATGCATTTACTTAAAAACATAAATCTATTTATGTTTACTGCATTGAAACTGATGAGGGAGAGAATAGTTTAAAAGTAAAATATTTTAGGGCATTGTGATTATCATAAGAGTCTGGAATATCCACCAGATGCTCTGCTGGGGAAGGAGGGGCAATCTCCTCCTGTACCAGTCAGATCTGATTTGACGGTACACGCACACAAAAATTTAAAAAAAAAAAAGAGTCTGGAATGAGGATTGCAGAGTGGAGTATATTCGGGGTGGGGGTGGGGTGGGGGTGTGCGGGGGGATTGTATACCAATGAAGGAGTTTTTCTTTTGCTTTTCAAGGAGAAGAGCAAACTGGTGGGGGGGGGGGAGAAAAGTGCAACAGTGAATGAATGGAAATCCAAAATCTCTAGATGTTCATTGAAATTAATAAAAAAAAGAAATAAAAAAAAGTAAATCTATTGTGAAACATTGCACGACACGAATGAAATTAGAACAAATTATGCTGAGGGCCATAAGGCCGTCACAGAAGGACAATTATATCATATGATCATGGATATATAAAGCTAAGGACAGGTTTACATGCAGATAGAATCAACCTTGGAGGGTTAATTGAGATAATAAGTGAGGGAGAGGGAAGCAAAAACAAAGAAATAAAAGATTCTTGCAAAGTGTATAAAAATACCCTATTTTTAAAAAAAATGCATCAACTTATTTTTATCTCTATCGTTTAGTTATAAATTGAGAGGGTACTCTACCGAGGGCTAGGGTAAAAAAGAAAGAAAAACTCAAACTTTGAGGTTTCTGGAAGGAGGATCTTCAGGTTGAGAAAAAGAAAACTATAGCATTGCTGTAAATGAGTCTCAGTGTCACGTGTCAGAAATAGAAAGTAGCTATAAAACATTTACATAATTGTTAAATCTAACGTATGTTTACACGCCACCTCATTGTATCTTGGGTGGACCATGCACCTGTTTTGGGAAAAGCTACTATTGTTGGGAGCTCTGTGGCCTAGTAGTAAGGAGCTTAAACCAAAGGCAAGCAGTTCAAACCCACCAGCTGCTCTGAGGGAGAGATGGGCAATCTCCTCCTGTGTGATTCCAGCGTCTGAAGAGCTGCTGGATATCAACTATGGGTTAGTTCTCACTTGAAAGCAATGAGGAGACTAAGGTTATTAAGTTCTTTTGAAGCTGAGGAAAACGAGGCCCAGGGAGGAGAAGGCATTGAGTCCATTGGCAGACTAGGGCTGACTTCGGGGCCTGTCTGCTCATCCATGGGCTTCGCTGTAGCCCAGGATCACGTGGTGTAGGAAACCTTGCAAGGTGGGGAGGGGGGAGTGGAAGCTCAGGGCCTCGGCTCCACTCAGAACCCCTCTCCCCTAGATTCATAAGACGAGCAGCAACCTGACCTATGACATCCACTACTGGATCGGCCAGGCCTCCTCCCAGGACGAGCAGGGGGCTGCCGCCATCTACACCACGCAGATGGACGACTTCCTGAAGGGCCGGGCTGTCCAGCACCGCGAGGTCCAGGGCCACGAAAGCGATACCTTCAAAGGCTACTTCAAGCAGGGCCTTGTGTATGCAGTGATAATGGGGATCCGGGGCTGAACTGAGGAAGGGGGTACTGAAGCTGGACATAGACCTGCACAGTGGGAGGTGACCGAGGACCAGGAAAGGGGCCTGAGATTGTGGCAGGAGCCTGGAAGGGGGTACCACGTGGCTTTTGGTGATTATTTTCTCCAGTCTCCACGCTCCATTTGCTCCTGCCCGGTCATGGGCTCTTACCTTTAGAGTGTTCTAGGAGCCCAGAGACTGTTCTGAATATGCGTACCAGCACTTTCTTCCACAAGGCACCTCCTATTTGGCTCTCCCTATATAAATGGGCATTTCAAACTTCAAACCCAAATTTTCAGCTTTTCTTAAAAATGTCTTAGGTTTTGGCCTCCTTCCTTCCTATGGAAGCACACAAGTTGGGAATTACTGCTGGCATGGAGCCAGGAGGCTGTCTGCTTTCAGCCAGCCACAGACCTCACCTGTCCCTATTGCCTCATTTCCCCCTCTACACTTAGTGAAGCGGTCCCCTCACTCAGGCATCTGAGCTGGCGCCTCTTCTTAGGCCTCACTTTAGTCCTCTGACCTTACGCACACTTCCAGCCTCCACTTGGCCATGCTCCCTGGGCCCTCAGAAAGATCAGGACCAGATGCAGTGAGAGCAGCACTGAGGATGCAAACGTGAGGGAGGGCCTCCCAGGAAAACTGACTCCTTCAAGCTTACATCCTCCAGGCCTCACACCACCCCTTCCCCCCAGCCCTGCGCCTCACACCACTCCTTCCCCCCAAACCCTGCCCTTCAGCGAGCGCAGTCTCCACAACCCAGGTCTGGAAAGGTAGGGGCTTGGGGGTCTCCCTTGTTAACCCACCTCTCTCCTCAGCATCCGCAAAGGGGGCGTGGCTTCCGGCTTAAAGAACGTGGAGACCAACTCTTACAACGTGCAGCGGCTGTTCCACGTCAAGGGCAAGAGGAACGTGGTGGCTGGAGAGGTGGGCATCACACCAAAGCCTTGGGACATGGCCTCCTGTCCTTCCTGACAGCCTGGAGGGGACTTTACACGGAGGCTCGGGGCCCTGGGTGGGGGGCAGAGCTGAGAAGGGCAGGGAGAGGGTGGGTAAGGGAGACCGTGGGTGGTGGGCGTGATCTGAGCGAGCTCCTGCCCTCCACGACTCCCAGGTGGAGATGTCCTGGAAGAGTTTCAACCGTGGAGATGTTTTCCTCCTCGACCTTGGAAAGCTAATCATCCAGTGGAATGGGCCAGAGAGTAACCGCATGGAGAGGCTCAAGGTAACCGCCATGGCCACCGCCTGCCCCTGCAGCTCAGCACCTGCTCACCAACTCCTCCACGCCCCGCTGGAACCCCATTCCACCCCCATCTCTATATGCAAAGGTGGATGTGGTGTCTCTGTGTAGTGGGCAGAGGCTTATGGGTGTTCATCAGCTCCGTAGTCCTCTGATTTACTGAGTCTACCGAATGGCAACACCCCCCTGGATAGTGAAAATGGCTAAGCACTCCACTAACAGTCTTAAGGTTGGTGGTTCATACCCACTTAGAAGCACCTGAGAAGACAGGCCTGGTGATCAAATTCTGAAAGGTCCCAGCCTGGAAACACCCATGGAGTAGTTCTTGGCATGTGCGTCAGAATCCACTCTTCGAGAACTAGCAGTAATAAAATCTTTGTGGCTGACTGTTGTCCTAAGCTCAGGGCGTCTGATGGTGAATGAATGGGTCAGACCCTGCAGGCTGGAGTTGGCTGTCCACTGCAGAGTTGGTTAATTATTTCCAGTGAAGGCTTCTGGGAGACGGCAAAGGTGGAACAGGATGCTTAAGGCAGCAAAGACAGTGACTGACCAGTGTTCAGCCAGGGGCCAGTAACAGACAGTTGTGGCTGATGTTTACCCTTGGGGCTGTGGGAGGCTGTGGACAAGTTTTAATGGGAAAGGGACATGGGGTAATCTATGATGTCGAGTCATTTTCATTCCTTAGTGGAGATTATGGAGGCAGGAGGGAGTAGGGACCCCTGTAGTCATCCATGGGGGTGGGGTGTGCAGGCTCAGGATGGGTCCACAGGATCTATGCAGAATGAGGGCACAGGAATGGGATGACGCAGAAAGGAAGGTCTTAGCATGGAGCAACCATGGGAATGGGGGGGTCCATGGACGTCCCATTTCCTCAGGGGGAGAGGGTTCAGGAAGCCATAGATTTGAAGAGCCAATTGAGAGTTTAATTTTGGAAATGTTAATGTGTTGGATAAACGTAATGAGAGCAGAGAGCTGGGCTGTGAAGAGAACAACACAGGCCTTGGTGGTCCAGGGGAGGCCTCGAAGGCTGTGTGTGTGTGTGTGTGTGTGTGTGTGTGTGTGTGACAGAGACACACACACAGAGAGAGAGAGAGAGAGAGAGAGAGAGAGAGAGAGAGTTAGTTCAGAGAGGGGAGGGGCGTCTAGGATCAGGATGTGGATGATGAGACGATTCCAAGGGGGCTGAGGAGAGTGTGTCTGAGAGAGAGAAAGAGAGAGTGTGTGTGTGTATGTGTGTGTGTGTGTACGTACATACAGAAGTGCTTCATGCTTATGTCTATTTGTGAACACAGATACTGTTCCTTCTGTGTGTGTGTGTGTGTGTGTGTGTGTGCGCGCGCGCGCTTGTATATGTCTGTGTGTGAACATATGTGAGATTGTACTCTGTGTGTGTCTGTGTGTGTCTGTGTGTGAACATGTGTGAGATTGTACTCTGTGTGTGTGTGTGTGTCTGTGTGTGAACATGTGTGAGATTGTACTCTGTGTGTGTGTATGTCTGTGTGTGAACATATGTGAGATTGTAGTGAGGGCTCCTCTTCAAAACTGTGAGGTTAGTGTCAGGACTGAAGACCCAGCAGATACACCCCAACAGCACTGCCAAGGAAGAAACTTTTTTCTCAGCTAGTCTCCACCACATGCCTTAACAGCTAGTTCAGGGCACCTTAAAGGAGTGAAGCAGGGCAAGTGCCTCAGCCCTTGGGGCTGCAGCAGACTATACTGGTGGCTGATACCTTGTTCCATTCATCCTTCATGGTCATCTGTGGTCTCTCCATAGGGTATGACTCTGGCCAAGGAGATCCGAGACCAAGAGCGAGGTGGGCGTGCCTATGTGGGTGTGGTGGAGGGGGAGAATGAGAAGGCGTCCCCACAGCTGATGGAGGTGATGAACCACGTGCTGGGCCAGCGGAGGGAGCTGAAGGCAGCAGTGCCAGACACCGTGGTGGAGCCAGCCCTCAAGGCCGCCCTCAAGTTGTACCAGTGAGTGCCTGTCTGGGGGCGTCCTGGATGCGTGGAACTGCCCCTGGCAGGATCTTCAGTTGGGAGACTGGGGACCCACCCCAACTTTGCCTTCCCTTTGTCCTGCAGTGTGTCTGACTCCGATGGGAAGCTAGTGGTTAGAGAAGTCGCCACCCGGCCCCTCACACAGGACCTGCTCAGTCATGAGGTGAGGCCTAGCTTTCAAATGGCCTTTTTCCCCTTAGCAGGAAAGATTCCAGCAGGCTAAAAGGCTAGAGAGTGAGTATGGGAGGACAAATATAGATAGATAGATAGATAGATAGATAGATAGATAGATAGATAGATAGATAGATAGATAGACAGATACAGATATAGATATCTCCTTTGTGTGTGTGTGCATCAATTCCATTTCTACACATATTACTCCATTATAGTGATTACATTCTTCAAGCTCACCATTCTTTTTTTTATTTTTCATTTCAGTGAACATCTACAGAGATTTTGGAATTCCATTAATTCATTGTTGCACCCTTCTCCCCGCCCACCCCCGCCCAAGCTCACCATTCTTTCTTATCATTCAGGATCCTTTTCCAAATTATTCCACGAGCACAAAGAAACCCTCTGAGCTTCTCATCAAGCCTTTTGAGCTGCTGTTGTAATTTCAGTCACTTAAAATTAGTTTGAAGAGCTCAGCATTCAAAACAGACATTTTTGTTAATAAAGCCAAACTACTAGTTGGTTCATAAATGACTTCAGAGAATAGCTTATCTCAGAGGAATAGCTTCAGGGGTTGACCAGAATGTCTGGATTTGGAGAATTGAAATTCCCCCCTTTTGATCAGCAAGAGACTTTTTATGCCCCAAATTTCTCCAGTCTGTTTCAGCACCTGAGGTTCTCACTGAGTTTTTCTCGTCTCTAGGACTGTTACATCCTAGACCAGGGGGGCCTGAAGATCTACGTGTGGAAAGGGAAGAAGGCCAATGCTCAGGAGAAAAAGGAAGCCATGAACCAGGCACTGGTAGGGGTGTGGGTCTGGGAGGAGGTAGACCTTAGAGGAGGAGGGAGAGTGATGGGAGGAGGGACACACAGACACCAGGCAAGAGAAGGAAAGTGGGCTACAGACTGAGCTTATCACTAGTTGGGGATTGGGGAAGACTTGGGGGATGGACAAGGCAGGGAGCTGGGCTTTACCCCGCTATGAGAGTCTGAGGGTCCACTCTGTAGCTGTCTTGGGGGTTTCTATACATCAGAGAGCCAAGGGCCAGGCAACCCTGAGACTTCCTCAAGATGTGCATCCTTCTCAGGGGCAACAGATCTGACAATTACTACATAACTTAGGAGAGACTGGAGAGCATTATACTGAGTGAACTTAGTCTCAAAAGGACAAATACTGCATAAGACGATTATTGTAGAAATAGAAAGATAACTAGTAAAATGTATATGAGGGTCCAAGGTGGGGAGGGGAAGAGGAGAGGGTGAGGATAGGGGGTAATCACAGAGTCACACAGATTGGTGGGTGGCGGGAGGGAGAAAAGGAAATGGGAGAGATCCAGGGGGGATCTGGAAAGACAGGGTAGTGGTGGACATAGTTCAATGATTAATTTTATAAAACATAATGAATGGGAATGATTGTAGGAAACACAATGTGAGTGAAGGATAGTGTAAAACACAGTGTATATTAACTTTCTAAGCAAACCAGTGTTTTGGGTTTGTTTGGTTTTTTTTTAATAAAAAAAAAAGCTGTGCCTCCTTACCTCCCTGGACTCAGACCTGGTTCAGGGGAGGGAGAGAGAAATGGAAATTGGTCTTTGTCGTTTCTTCCAAGTAGTAGAGCCAGGCTTTGGCTGGTCAGTTCATAGTCATTATTTTGCCTACAGTCAGTAATCCAACTGGCTTGGGATCAATGGTAGATTAACAATTGGGTTCAGGACTGAGATTGGAAATAGAGGTTAAAAGTCAGGGTTAAGGGGGGCTCTGGTGGCCTAGTGGCAAGGAGCTGCAACTACAATCCGAGAGGCGCACGGTTCGAATCCACCAGATGCTCTGGCGGGGAAGGAGGGGCAGTCTTCTCCTGTAACAGTCAGATCTGATTTGACAGTACACTCACATAAAAATAATAAAATAAAATAAAAAAAAATGTTTAAAAAAATTGGAGGTTAAAAATGAGGCGGGGTCAAAGTTGAGGTCAGATTTGGCCTTGAGGATAGGATCATAGCAAGGTTTGGCTTGGGGTCAGCATTAGGTTTAGGGTTGGGTTCAAGTTTGAACTTGGGAGCAATTTGACCTTGAGTCTGGTTGGAATTAGATGGGACTTTGGGTCACACATGGGATGGGAGTGGGGAAAGGACACAGCTCCCAGCCATGATGTTTCCTCCCAGAACTTCATCAAAGCCAAGCAGTACCCGGCGAGCACGCAGGTGGAGGTGCAGAACGATGGGGCCGAGTCCGCCGTCTTCCAGCAGCTCTTCCAGAAGTGGACAGTGCCCAACCGGACGGCAGGCCTGGGAAAGACCCACACTGTGGGCTCCGTGGGTGAGGACTGGCCAGGCAGGGCAGGGGAGGGCACGGCCCAGGGGCACATCAGGAGGGGACCTTCTGCACATCCCTAGATGGGGTAGGTGTTACAGAGGGGTGTGAGTGAACACAGGGTTGTCATGAAAAGAGACTGGGGACCACATGCGTCTCATTTGAATGGGATTGCCCCCCCCCTGAAGAACTTCAGTGACCAGCTGGTATTTGCCAAGGACAAGCTCAGCACCAAGCCCCCCCTCTCCTGCACAGGGGAAGCCAGAGAGTATAAAGCCTCTGTCATCAGCTCCCCATTGAGTTGGGACTCCATGGTAGTCGGGACATAGGCAGATCTTCAAACTTGCCCTCTGATCCGCCACAGCTCCCCAGAAGCACAGGAGATGCTGTTCTAGATTCTAACACTGTCTCTCTAATCTTGATACCTCAAGTAAGCCCCTGGATCTCTCTAGCCTCAGTTTCCTCATCTGTACAATGGGTCTCGTTATGATAGCTATCACTCAGGCCCACTGTGAGGACCCAGAGAACCAGACTAGAAAGTGCAGGTTGGGCAGCCTGCAAGTCCCCAACTGGTGACAGGTGGTGTTGTGACTCCCCCCCATCCCAGCCAAGGTGGAGCAGGTGAAATTTGATGCTGCATCGATGCATACCAAGCCAGAGGTGGCTGCCCAACAGAAGATGGTTGATGATGGAAGTGGGGAGGTGCAGGTATGACGGATGGAGGGGGGATGTGTTGTGGAGGGGGGAGG